CCATCGGTACCACTGTTCCGCACATCGATTCACTTTGCATGCAAATTGAGCGCAAGTAATGAGAACCGGGTCTAGCACAGGAGCAATAACTGTTTCCACCCCCTTCGCTAGATGTATCCCCTCCCCTCCCCACCCTCCTCACCCTATGGCTCACCTTACCCTCACTGCTGCAATATTAACCCGGTTATTAATTTTCCATAACACCATTTATATACGAAGTATATAGGTTTAGTGCATGGGGTGGCGGAGAAGAGGGGGCACATAGCCTTGTTTCAGAGCGAAACGTGTTTTTCTCTCCTGAATTTGCCATCGTGTTACAGGACCACAAACCTCATGCTAAGTCTGACCTTCTCATAACTCAGCACTAGTCTTTCCGGACGTAACTCTGGCCAGATGCTCGAGCGAGGAACGCGGGTTATCTGTATGAGGAGGGTTTATGAAGACCTGATGAATTTCTAACCTGTACCCTCGTTCATAATTGGACCAGGAAATTATGTAAAGGTTACTTTCGTGCTTGGCATGGGCTACCGTTCCTGACAGCATTTACCAGCCGGTGAAGAACCCTCGAAAGGCTTCCGGGTTTAATCATGTTACGACCCGTGTTAAAGTTGGTCTCTTGTCACCGCGACATGGCGTGTTCTCAGGTTGCGGAAGGAAGAGACGGCCTCCAGGTATGGGGGGCTAAGAACTCCTCACCGTGAAAGCTACAGCGTGTTCTTTCTGTCTTTCCGTTTTCCTATCTTTCCTTCTTTCTTACTGCTCTCCCTCTCTCTTTCTCTCGATTTCTGCCCTTCTACCCCTCTTTACTTCTGTTTCCCTTCGTTTCCGTTGTTACGTGTCATTGGTTCATATTCATCACAACACCCAACATTTTCGTCGTAACATGTGGATCACAGATCCATCGGAACCCATGTACTTCATATGCCATACTGGTTTAAGAACGTTCTTATCAAAATCCAATACAAATGTAATGGTTATAGCACTGACGGACGAAATTACCTGATAAATTAAGATGGCTACATGATAAAGAAATATTTTTGGAAAGCTAATAGTCGCTCAGCTGGTCAAATAATTCTCCGCCTTTGTTTGGAAACGTGCTCACAATAGCAGACACTGGAACCTATCCAGAGCCAATTCATTTCAGCGTACGTCTTCATGCCATAGTTTATTAAGACCATTTTAATATTACTGTCTCATTCAAGCCTCTATCTCAGACGCGTGGTCTAAACCAAGAATCCATAATTCTGCAGGATGATTTAAAAAGTTGTAATAGATAACGTTGAAATATCTGCACACAATGCGCGGTTGTGGCTGTGAATAGACAGCTGATTGATGTGACATACCAGCCGTAAAATCTATCGCACTGCCAATGGAAAGCATTTTCAGGTTTCGTTATTTCATAGACATTATTTAATTCTTTGATCTTAATGCACCGTTCCATCCTTCATTCTTTGTGTATCTCTCGGCCCTTTGTTAAGTAGTCTCTACATATTCTCATATCATATGTAAAATTTAGAATTGGAGCCAGAAACTGATGAGAAATTCAAAGAAGCCGGAAGGTATAAAGGAGGATAAAGTCTCATGAATAAAATGAATTTTATACCATGTCTCCACATATTAGTTTCTTTCCTTCCTTTTCCTCATTCAGTTCCATGCACCACAAACCTATCTTCACTTCTCTTTTGTTTTTCTTTTCCTCGGTGACATCCGACTCTCGTCTCATTTCACTTCCAGGGCTTTCTGGATAATTTCCTCGTCAGATCACACTCTATATGCCGCACTCCGTTTGAATATCTTCTTTACATTGGACAGTCATGACTAAATCATTTCTTTCTATCGTTTCTCCTTACACTTTGCTTCTCAACTTCTTCTTTCACATTCGACGACACAAATTTCTTCAAAATTAGGTCCTGAAATCTACTATCAACTTTGATCCAAGTCTTCTCGTTGTTGTGTGTGCACATTCTGCTCTCACGTTTACTGGCATATATGAATCATATTAGCTGGTGTACTCCAACAAGAACATAATCAAGCTGTAATTATAGCTCTATTTTGTTTTGCGTGTCAGTACGTTTCCCGACTAACTTTTGATGCGACATGGACGAAATTTAGAGGTGTAAACGACGCTAATCAAGGTATCTGTCCGGGGTTTATTATTTTCTGCGCAGATTCATAGGTTTTCCTGTTCTCCCTTGATTATCGTTTGTTTCCTCGGCCATCCAGGAGGACATTTTCAAATACCCCCGACCTTACTAAAATTCGCTGTTGTAGTATGTTACCTCCGAAACCACTGACCTCCAAGTATCTATCCTGTATTAAGTCTTAACATTTCAATTGCCAATCCTCACGTTCTTTCAATTGTCTTTGATCGTTCTGCAGAATCCATCCATTTACGAGGTTTCTGCACAAGTTTTGTGATGTAAAATGTTGTACAGTGTAGGGCTGTTAACCCTACTCCAGACCACCAGACTAGAGGACCGCCCTTTTTTGAATGCCTATGACTGCTTATTTGGTATGCTCTAAGTTGGCATAGGTGCATGGATCTTAAATACAATTTCATTATTTTTCTCTAAAATAGATTATCGTGAAAATAGTGATTACGTAACATTATATATAGACCTCATTAACATATATAACGTTTATTTGAAAGATTTTTGGTATGGTGAATATTTTATTAAAGAAGAAAAATAATTCTGTGTTCTGTGTGATTGGCTTTGATCCGAAATACGTCTATTTTGAGTAAATGAATATTACGTTCTATGTAATATTCATATCTTATAAATAACATACGTGAATACTCCTTTTAAGTACAACTTACCATGTTTAAACAGCTGAGTTTTCCTCTGTTTGCCTACAAAAACTGCTGTTTATTTTGTCCCTTGTGCCTATGTTGCAGTGAGGGTGGGCCTGTCATCACGCGTCAGAATATTACTTCTTTGCTTTGTCAGTACAACCGAGTGCATGTACGGCCACGACAATTCGCACTTCTCCTGCAATTATCTCGTTATGTGCACACGCACTAACTTCTGACAACAACCGAACGACCCCCTGCCCCTTCCGTGTGAGTCATACTTTGTTCTAACCACATAAATCCGTCATTTGCATTGCAATCCATAGACTACACATCAGTACATCACTGGTTGCGGGTTACGTCACCAGGGCTCTACTCCCGGTTCGAGCAGAGATTTTGATTTGTGCTTCAAAAAGAATTTGAAACTCGTTTGTTAAATTCACGTTGTCCGTAACAACGTTACAAAGTATCTGAACGATACACGTTGTAAAAGATGTACACTTAATTAAGTACAACCAGTTTGATTATCATTAATTTAGAGGCATAATTAAACTTCCGAAAGTATTTGTCATACTGCGATTAAAATAGTTAGCTTTAATGACATTTGTCAATAATATCAGTACATTACCGTGATTACTTTTTAAGACCGTCTTCCTCTGAGCGTTTGGTTACCTGTTCAGTGGCACAGAAGTCTGTTCAGTTTTGTATGCTCGTGAGTATACTTTGTGTGTCCTTCTGTGGGGAGGAATAGGGTGGAAATGTCGTTGTCAGTACCAACTACGGAATTTCCATCAAAAGATTGAAATTACTCGGAACAGTGCATTTAAACAATGCCTTTTGGATATTCCGTGAATGCAAGAGCATTTGACCAACCCTTTTTTGCTGTTGGATAAATCTTGCGCCATCCGACTGTATTATTGGGGGAGGCAGTTGATGCAGACACGCGAGAACTCAAGCAGGAGCCCCCTCCCCCGCTGGGAATTGCTTAACAACAAAGAGAAGATGCGATGGATGGCGTACATTATCCCCTTTTCTCGCGTGCCTTAGGGTGATTATTATATGCCGCTGTAACCAGCGGTTCGGTACTTACGGGAACCAGTGAACGTGGGCGTTGTCCTTTCGAGCACTGTTCTCCAATGAATTCTCTGTACATCCCTAATAAATCCAACGTTAGGCTTCTGTACTGTGATCCTCAGGGTAGCGTATTACGTATCAGTTTACTTAAATGATTTCCTCTGGAGTACCTCAGCGACACAAAGAACCTTGTTCCACGTTCAAGAGGTACGCCTAGTCCGATGACAGCAGAGAGATATGAAATTGCATATTTAGTTTGTGATGTGTTCCACGCGTGTTCTCTTCCAGCTACTGTACCCAGAATCTTTTTATCTTATCGTTCATCTGAAACCTAACGATAAAACGTATTAAATTATAATTTCATATGTTGGTTAAATGGACATGAAACGTGTTCCTCATCCCAAGTGTCTGGAACAGACTGATGAGCAGAATATTTGTAACAGAGACCAAGTAGCAAGGAGGACAGAGACAACTGCGTGTTTGGAAATTTCACAATTTGTAACTTTCAAATGAAGCAGAGGGTCATATATTACGGTTGTAGAGGAAAATTTGAATTTCACACAAAACTGAAAATCAGACGGGTATTCGATAGTCGAATTAGATACCTTCTTCGTGGCTAAGAATTTCACTTTCCTCTCCCGTTTTAATTAAATCATTGTAACGTATGAAATAGCGCAACGAATATTGTTTCTTAATAATTTTGTTTTTTCCAACTGCTTAATTCCGTTAAATCAGATAAAGCTCGTAAATCGTGAACTGGAAAGAATGTGGAGCTGATCAGGCTTGGACTACGTTAAAGTAATGTTCCATAATTTGCGAACAGTGACTGGGGAAAATTACGAGCATATAGTCGCTGATGCGGTCAAGAAATTCCTCGAATTTTGTGATCCCAGAGGTTCATTACCGTGTTCACAAAAGCCAACCACAACTTCTTGTCGCTCCATACTGTACTTAGCAAAATATTAATTAAATATTCAGTCTGGTATAGTGACGTGGCTGGGTTTAAATTTTTTACAAAACCGTATGCTGCATGGAACGCTACTGTTCCACATAGACAAAGAAATCATTACACGAATACCTAAATAGCAAGTTAAGTAGAGGGATACGTTTTGTCATAATTCAGGTTTTCTCTGCATTGAAACGCAGTTGACAGGAAAATGAATAACGGATTCTGCTGAAATAAGAACTTGCCTCTGATGTGTTACACCGTATTCTCTCGCTCAATTAATTCCTGTCTGTTTCTTGTTCGCGCAGTTTCCTTAACAGCGCCTCCCTCCTCCTCGTATCCGATCGTAACTTGTGTAGTTACAGTAGCCCCTACCTTGTATGCAGACTTGTCACCGCCACAGTGCCCTCGACATAATCGATACATTATATTAGTGGTCGTTTTGCTAATTTTGAAACCTGTCTTTTGTATGCTTAAATACTTGAACAAAAATACAACATCTAAATACTGTATTTACGAGCCCTAGGGTGTTATTCGTTGCATAGAAATGATTCTGCTGCAATTATCAAGGCAATGTCGCCCTGGCCGAAAAACACCTTTGAAACTTCGGTAAGCTTCTGGTAGACTGCATAACGCAACAACCTAGAAGACATAATGAATTCTTCTCGGGCTATTAACCGTGTAAGGTGGTTTAGTGAGCATCTTCGTCCTCGTCCTCAGGGTACTCTGAGTGTGTCCTTCATTAAACCACCTTACACGGCTAGTAGCCCGAGAATAATTCATTATACTTAGTCGCCGTGAAAGTTTCAGATTGTAGAACCTATAAGACAGCCATTTCCATATAATCGTGATTTGCGGGAGCTGCTGGTAGAGGAAGATAGCTGACAAACATTGTTGTGCAAGTCTCTGTATTCTTGTTATATATGTATTGTATTTCATTAGAATTAATTTATGTTCACCAGACAAATATATCAATTAATTTATTGATATTCCAATCCCAAAATATATATTCTAAACATAGAATTTGTTGTAGCGTCGAATAAGAAGTTCCTGTTTCTTACATCGGGAAGTGTATGGAGTACTGATTTGTGGTACATTTAAAACAATCCTGACACATGGTATTCAGGCTAAGGAAACCCATGTTGCACGTCGCCCAGGACAATGGTTTTTGGACTTTTATATTTATACAGTTGTCATCTTCCGGTACAAATAGTAAGAGAAACAATTCCCGTTTTCTTTCCTGGTACTTTTTAATGTTAGATCGTACTATGACAAAAAGCAAACTTAATTAAAGACCATAGAGTGATTTTCAATATTTAATTCAGTGTGAATGTAAAAGGTTTATTCCTTCTGGCATTAACTGAGCCACTATCTCGCTAATTAAGTTATAAGTTTGAAGAATATAGAATTATCTCTAAATTAATTAAATGATAAGGGAGGTTTTACCAGTAATAGAATTTAGTTACAAAATCCATCCATTCAGTTCGAAATGGAACTGAATTTATTGTTTTGAACATCGCTTCACTTAACATCCAGCTTTCGCCATAAATCATTCCATTGAAGTTTTTCCTTATAATCCTACAGAAATGATTTACTTAACCTGAGTGGAATGTAATGTAGGCTCCACGCATCGCATCTTTATTCTGTTACTTAACGTTACTGTGGTGTGACTGACCGTCCTTTGAGTATTTGGAAATTATGGGGTTCGACTCTCGGCCCATAAGCCGACTGACAGTCATATTTTTTGGTTTTCCCGTCCTCTCAAGTAAGTACTGGGATGTTAGTTTAAAATGGGTCACGACCGCTTTCTTCATATTTCTCGCAAAGAAATTCTTATGCGTTTATGTTTCCCAAAATGAAACATCTTTACTTGAAACATATGTCCCTGTGCTTAATCGGAGGTAAAAGTCCATTTTGAGCGAGGAAAGGCAAAAATGTTTGATTTCAGGTCGCCCAGCTGTGTACCCTGCCAACAAAACTTTGACTGCCGTCACCGGCCAGCGTCTGTCTCTCACTGTGGAGTTCTGCGCCAATCCACCGGCGTCCAGAGCCGTTTGGCTCACGGATTCACGCGTTCTAAGGCCCGGTGACGTCACAGACACAATAATCGCCCACAACATTACGGTGAGTTGCGACAAGATATTTTCATGAACAATACAAACAAGTCGGGAGTAACAGGATTTAACCTTTTAAAGCAACGTGGTTAATAGATGTACCATCTGGTTTAATTTTCAGTAACTCTGCATTTTGTATTTATGGGTGCCGTACGATTCTGTCTGTAACCAGGGATTGTTTTCTTAAACAGCGTTAGCATGTTGAGCCTGTATTTGAAAAGTTTTAATTCTTGTTTGAGGTATGTACTGAATTTTTAAGTTTTATTTGGATGATTTTAGGCTTTAAAGGGTCAAATAATTTATTACAATTTTGGAATTTCTTTCTTTCTTTCCGTATTTTTTTCTAATTTTGTATTTCTTTAGGTATTTCTTTATTCTTTCCTGTTTTCCTTTGCCTTACCTATGTTCAAATTATATCAGATATGAGATTCGTCAAATAATATCGTGTCACTTTACCTAACCGTGTTAAGCCCACAAGAAGACCCGATCTCGTGTTTGAATCCCGTTCGGGACAATCTTGTCTGTCGTCTTTTCTTGCTTTAGCCTTTGATGCCCAGGTCCTTCCAGTGGCATGTTTCGAAATTTTAAGACTCTTACGTATCTTAGGAATAATAACAACTTAAAAATACGATTAATTAAAGCTGATTGCTAAATGAAATTCTTTACACAAATGTCTCAGTATTTAGGTTTGTTACAGTTTTTTTACATCTAAACAGCCGGTTGGTCAGTATGTTGCCACAAGCAGACTAGCAAATTACATCAGTCAATTATTAATCAGTTTTCGGCCCTAACGTGTGTGTATCTGTCGAAACAGGTGTGAATTTTTCTGATGTGACATTTCTTTGAAGCAGTAACCGAATTTTCCTCGATTTTGAAAGGAAATCGAAGACAGAATTTTGCCTGCTCACGTTTACAGCCACCATTTTTATCCACGAGAAATAAATTGAAGACCCAGTAGCAAGAAGTTTGGAAAGATAAAGCTAAAGAATAGTGAAGGAAGAGAACAAGAAAATTGCTGATGAAGAAGGCTTCGATTTCTACAAAGTCGCGCATTTTCTGGGATTGCATATAAAATGAACCTAACCTAAAACTTTTCACAGAAAGTTGCAAGTTACATAAAACTCTGTTACATTCTGTATGTATTAAAGTCACAGAGTTTATTACAGACCTTTTGTAATGTTTACATGCCAATTAAAATAGCAACCCTGCTTTTCCCGCAGAAATTATATTATTAGACATTTCCGATTTGCTTTTCTCCTTCGGTCTTTATGTTGACTGGTCTAGTGGTTAACGTACCTACTCAGTACTCAAGACATCTCGTCTTCCACCGCGACCGTCTCCATTGCACTGATACTATTTATCATTGTGGGATAATAATTGATTTTCGTAAGAGTTGCGTGTCTTCATTAACTGCTACAGTTTCAAATATACGCTGAACTGCTTCCAGCCAAGTATTCCATCGCAGTAACCACTTGTAACTAGTAGTTTGCTCGTTCCATCATACAGTGCGTAGTCACTGATGGTCATTTCGAATAGCATACCGTTGAAGTACGTACAGTATGACACACCGAAAGTTAAACACGAGTATAATATCGGTTCTGTGTAGCTGATTCGTCTCCCAAAATAATTTCGTTTCATCTGCGTGTTCCTATTCATCGTAACTATACAACGGTTGAGATTTTTACCTATTTTGATACAATATTTGTCACTCAAAAGAAACAAATGAATAACGACCCCAAATTTGTTAGACGTTTTATGGGACACCTTATACATAATTTCGTTCAAGGATCGCAGGAAAAATAGATTTTTACATATGGCACATTCATCGCCCTGATGACGGAGGCAGTATGACCTCTGAAACGTTGGTTAACATCGACCAGACTACACAGCGCAACAACCCAGAAGACAGAAATCTTCATACTCATCGCCCTGATGACGGAGGCAGTATGACCTCTGAAACGTTGGTTAACATCGACCAGACTACACAGCGCAACAACCCAGAAGACAGAAATCTTCATACTCATCGCCCTGATGACGGAGGCAGTATGACCTCTGAAACGTTGGTTAACATCGACCAGACTACACAGCGCAACAACCCAGAAGACAGAAATCTTCATACTCATCGCCCTGATGACGGAGGCAGTATGACCTCTGAAACGTTGGTTAACATCGACCAGACTACACAGCGCAACAACCCAGAAGACAGAAATCTTCATACTCATCGCCCTGATGACGGAGGCAGTATGACCTCTGAAACGTTGGTAACCATCGACCAGACTACACGGCGCAACACCCCAGAAGACAGAAATCTTCATACTCGCCGCTGTGAAAACCTCAAATCTTACAGATTTTTATTTCCGTTACCTGAGAATTCATATGCGTGTGCAAATCTGATAAACTCCTCATAACAGAAATTCGAAATGGATAGAAGAGTTTTAAATCGTTAGTTTCGCTTCGCGTACAAATACTGAACCCTTTCGTTTTAATTTAACGGATGCTGTCAGAGGCTCTTTACTCGCAGAGGCGTTGTAGGCCCTCGCGTTCAGTACTGTGAAATGTTGTGGCCAGGCTAGAGAAGTGGCCACATGTAATCTGTTGACGCCGCTAACGACGTTAATAACCATCGCGTTTAATTAATCCTCCTGTAGTCTGCAGTGCTTAGCCCTCCATCACTGTCATTGTCTGTGTGGCAAGACGCGGACACTTTCTGTCCGTCCACTAATTGTACTCCTGCCACAAGGGTACATTCTGTATACCTGAAAAAGGGGGCTAATTTAAATGAGATATGCCGCGTTTTCGCGCGATTGTATTATATGTGTTATGGCACGGCTTGAATGGATGGGTGAACTGGAACATTGTGAATAAGAAAATTTACGAGATTTGGGCTTTTCACGGCGGTGAGTCCGAAGATGGCTGTCTTCTGACGTTTCAGAGGTTCTTGCTGTCTCCACCACCCTCATGATGGAGGCATCCAAGAACCTCTGAAACGTCGGTAAACTTTTACCAGAATATGGAGCTTTCAAACACAGCGTGATGAAATAGATCCCAGACTACCGCATTAATGTTGCTAAACATATCTAGTTATACACAGTTGTCCCAGCAATGTCACATTTCAAAAACAGGATATTCTACTTTGTATGTTGACAATGCACAGCTTGGAGCCACATTCCAGTTTTTAATCCACTGACCACTGCGATTTGATATTACGCCGTCTAGCGTCGCAAGTAGAAACTGCTACATTCCTGAAAGGTTTTGCTATGGTACCAGATCTATTGTACAGTGAGATCCCATTAAAATAACACCTTGATGACAAATTAATGTTTAAAATTTCCTTCTGCCTCTCACTCCGGGCAGTTGCCCAAAGGAGGAAGATCCTGTACACGTCGGATAGGATGCTGAGTGGGCCGGGGTGCTTGCTGCCTCCATTTTCAGAGTCATTGGTCTAATTATGGAGGCAGAAAACACTTATGTAACGTCGGTAAGCTTCTGCCAGACTACACGGCGCTGCAATCCAGAAGACAGCAATCTTCAATTCATTCTTGGTTTATTTAACGTTTTTTAAACTGCTTATGTTCTACAGCGTTAGTAGATAGCTGTAAGTGATGAACTGGAAACAGCGAATGAAACTATCGTGGTACTATGCTAGCCATTTCCTGGGAGTACTGAAGAAACACACGAACAGCTCAATCACGATATCCTCTAGGCAGGATGGCGTGAGTGTAAGTGAACTAGTGAACACGCTTAGGTACTAGTCATACCAATGCGGTTCAAATTTGGCCTCGAAATTTTATCATGGCTTGTCAGCAATTAGTAGATGGTTGTCTTCTGGGTTCTTGCGCCGTGTGGTCTGGTAGAAGTTTACCGACGTTTCAGAGGTACTTGCTGCCTCCATTATCAGGGCGAGCCATCTTCAGACTTACCGCCTTTTAAAACCACAAATCCTACACAGTAATTCGTAATTACCTCTTTCATATTAGGCAGTTTACTTCAGGCATTCCCATGTCCCCCTACATTTACACACTTGTAACACTACTTCGTAAACGGGATGTCCCGAATGAAAATTTCGGCCCGAAGACTGGCTCTCCTGAGAGGGTTTTGCAGTTTTTCACAGTCCCTCCAGGCAAATTCCGGATTAGAACCTTAAATTAAGCCACGGTCGTTTCCATCCATATACTTTCTAATTCATCTATTAATGATTCTTTTATTCGACGCTTTCCAATGTAATCTATTAACATCTTCGTTAAATAAACCACAAATGAATAAATAAATAAAAAGATGACGATGTACAATTTAATTCTATATCAGGCCACCGGAAATTATTCAAGTTACTCCCAACCTAGTCAAGAAGTGCGACCATTCCCCCTACAACGCCTTCTAATAAAAACTGCCTCTCTCTTACTCTAAAGCAGAGGTACATAAGTTCTTCTTTAATTTTTAAACGCATTTTCTGAATTAAACCACTTTCGCTCTCAGTAGTCCATTTGTTACGTCCAGAGCCGGGTTATTTCCTTCCTCGTAGACCACGTCAGCAGTTCATTTATTGCAGTGTCTCTCGTCTCAACAAGTAGTTCGTCTTCCAGGCAGAACATGTAGCAGCGGGCGATCTGAATGCCTCACCCAACTAGTCTACTCCAGATATAATGTAATTTAATTAAGGATTTTTATTAAGTCAGATTTAATTAGGAGTTCTGGAAATATTACAAGAATAATGTTTAGAGAACTCGGATATTGGATTCCTGTTTTTCGTTTAACTACTTTTTTTAATTTTATATAGTCCATTATACGAAAACTTCTGGATCTGACATCTTTACTTTTATCTTGCTCCTTCTGATTACTAAACCGTACTGCATTATTCATATTTAGCATCCCTGCAATATCTTAAGAGCTGTTATAGACGGATATGAAGTTGATGGGAACGGTCAATATACAGCATGTCCCATTAGTCTGAATGAGTAGTGATACTGAGAAAGACGAAAGTTCAGAAGTGCTTCCAATGCTTGGAGGGTGAAG